TGTTCTCGAATGCCACCTAGACGATGGGATATTTAGGAAACTTTATTGCATTAAGTTTTTCATGGGAGTCCTTAATTTGTTTAAACAATGGGATTAATAACTGATAAGCTTTAATAAAATAATAATAATAAGATGGGATCTTAAATATAAATAATTACACTTAAGCTCTGCTTAGATGTTGGAGAGTTAAAGTGATCTCATTATATTTAAGAATCCATTTTTTAAATTGCATTTCACCATCATGCATAAGATTTGTTGGCATACACACATCTATTTGCTAATATTTGCACTTGCTTTGCGTATTTATGCCTTTAATTTTTGTTCACTACCTGATGGTTCCATCATTTACTTTTTCGCACAAAACATTTTTTTTAAATAAAAATATTTACTTTAAAATTTGAAGTTATAAAATAAAACAAAAATAATATTTCAAAGGAAATAATTCTTGGTACTCTACTTAGATGTTGGAGAGTTATCGACAATTATCTTTTATAAAGAGTGTTATTTCATTTTAAGGAATATTGTGTTAAATCTTAAGCGAAAGAATTATTTTAAATTCTGCCTAGATGTTAGAGAATTTTAAGATAATTCTTTAACTTTAACATTTCCTCAATATTTTTAGATAAAGAATTTTAGCAAAAATATTTTTTAATGAAAAAGAGTTATTATTAAATTTCAAAACAAAACTATTTCATCCAACACCGAAAATAATGCATAATTAATTGGTACCAATTTATGGATGTTGTGGGGGTGCTAATCCTTCATCACACATATCCAACTCTAGGATCCAACCTGATTTTCATAGACTAAAATTTATCTTTTTAATAAACTTTAAGCCCACTTTTATAGTTTTATTAAAAAGATAAACTTTTGGGTGACCAATCATATCCTAAAAAAGATTGGTCATGACTCTTCTCATTTTTTTTGATTTAAAAATTTTTTTACGTTTAGTGATCCCGAAACCGTTACGATAACCACTAACAACAATTCGAAGTAAAAAATCTCAAATGAAAATAAGATAGGACACAAATAGAAGAAAAATCATAGTAGACTTACAATTGTTCTAAGCATAAGGATTCAAGTAAAAGGTCTTTCCATCAGGTATAATATGAAAAAGACCAATCTTTTCAACTGCTTCATAAGTAACAAAAAAGCAACCAAGTCCTTAATTAAGCCACAAACCTTTCTCAGTTTGAAGTAAACCAACGTATAATTGCAATTGATATTTAAGCTTTCCTTAGTAGATATATTTACCAATGGCTTATGAGTTGATGAACACCACAATCATTTACAGCCACATAAGCTTTAGCTAGTTGCCATATGAAACCTACAACTCCATGTTCTGCTCTTGTATACATGCCAATGACTTCAAAGTTCTATCATCCCTCAAAAGTAAAAGAGTTCTAGGCATATAAGTATTTGTAGTAGTCGACTTTATCCTATTAAGGTATGGCATAAGTGTATCATGATGATTTAATATGAACAATATGCTGCTCTTTAGTGCCTGTTCAACCAAATTCTTTTCAAGTTAAAAAAATCCCAGAGCATTAATTTATATAATGTACTTTTAAATGAAAATCAGTACACAAAACATTACCTCTTCTATGGTGAAACCCTCTAAGTTGTGTTTTATATGTTTTTTTTTTTATAGCATTTTTTTGAGTACCATATACATTAAGATCTAACTTGCTTGTTCGATGAAATTCCTGCAATTGAGATCAAGTGGAGGAAAATAAAGAAAAATTGAATTATGAGATAAATTTCAACGTTTTTCTATTTGTTTTCCTTATAACTACCAGCTTGATAAACAATAGGAAAAATAAAAATTCAGAATGATGCTCAAGCTTACTTTAAGAAGATGCTTTAGTAAGCATTTCTCTGGCGAATTCCTCATTAGTCCACCATGCAGTCTTACTATCTACTTCAATTTATAAAGTTATAATGCAGATTAGCATTTGAAGTCTATATATGATATTTAACTCTCAAATAAGTAGTATATATATTTGATGCATACCTTGAATCACTTGAGGCATGGGGAATTTTAGTAGTTATTCCTCATCAGTCCTAAAAATTTCTTTAAGCATCTCTAAGAGAATGTTCTTGATGTTATTATCAAGTAAAGAGCTAAAAGGAAGCTTGACTCCTCTATAGTAGAGTTTTTATACATCCTCATATGTGTTTAAACTCAAATGTTTGAGGAAAATTCTGCAATATCCATACAGTAACAAAACTTTATTCATTCAAAAAACTAAAAAAGTTGAAATGGTTTAACCAATTAGTCACTATCCATATTAGAACAAATTATCATAATTTTGAAAACTGCTTTTATAAATACCAAACACTGCATGATTGTTTCATTGCAATAAATCAATCAAATATTTTTCATGACTTTGTTATTTTGTATTATCAAATCAAATAACAAATTAACTACATAATTAAAAGCAGAGATAAAAACACCAAGCTTTTTTGACAACTTTTACTTCCACACACATAAATAAATAGATTGATTAATAAATGTCATAGTTTAAATATAAGTTATCTAAAAAATTACACTAATTACACTTTTAATTTTAATTAAAATCCATTCATATGAACTTGACTATTGCATCTTTCAAATACATCTTCAACTTTTATGCTTCATGGTCAAACTTTAAACAACTCCTAAAAGGGAGATAGGATTTATAAAACTATTCATAGTATTGCATATATATAGCTCTTCTTTATTAAAAAAAATTAACAAAAGAAAAAAAAACTAGTTGTGATGACTACAATCCTCAATAGATGAAACTATTCATACAACTTAACAAAAAAATAAACACCACATACAACTTAATAAACACAAATACATAATAAATAAAGCAAAATAACACATAAAACAATTCATACTAACCTGAAAATTGAATATCCAAAAAACTTCAACAAACCCTTATACAAAAACAAAGAGAAAATTAATCGAAAACAAAATCATAACTTCATTTAAACAATATGCAAAGCAATATTGTTAAAGAAAATAACAACTAAAAATTGATTTTCATCTAACATCAAAACAAGCAAAGATAAAATCTTCCTAAAATAACACATTCACAATAGCATATAGACCTTTTAACCACAAAACCCAAACGCCATTCATCAACCAAACTCCTTTAAACAAAATTAAAATCTATAACACAAAAATCATCACAACATAACTAAAAAAACCAAAACTCACATTTAATTAAATTAAAAAAGGAAAAAAATTATACCAAAAAATAGCTAAAAAATGAAAAAAAAAACACTCACACAACGAAGAAGCCTACCTTTGATGCCACAATAGCTTTTTTTCAAAAAGAAATAAAAACAAAAGAAAGAACTTAAAAAGTATAGAGGAGCTACATTTGT